GAATGGTGCTTTCAGAGTTGATGGTAATGAACAGTGTGTGTTATTTGTGAAATAAAATTCTAAGCTTTGGCAGGAAAAAGATGCTTGAACACTCCAGGAGTGCTACGACTTTGTCCTGGAAAGGAAAGAGATGAGAGTTACATTCCCCTGAGGGTCTGTCCTAGACTCCTTCTCATTTCTCTTTCATCAGTGCATGTAGCTACTTTGCTCCAATGTTTTGTGAACCTTCAGTGGCTTGAGCATTGTTGTTGGCAGCTAGAGGTGGCAGCATCTTTACTAAAGTGAGAAAAATCAATTCTTTATCTGTCTTTTCTGAGTTCATTTGTTAAAGGTGGCCTAACATTGTTACTGCTCTTAGCTGGGTGCCCTTTGTGGTGAGAATGATTTCCCTGTGTCTCACTCATTTGTGAGGGGGATGCTTTACATGCTGTACAAATGCGGAAGAGCCTACATACCCGAGCCTTGTGTGGGCACCACCTCAGCACACATTTTCCATTCTCAGAAGCCTCTGCTGGAGCTCTCAGGTGGCTTTAGTCTCTATTCTGAGTACTTTGAGAAAAGCCACTCAGGAAAGAATTAGTGGTACAGACCTTGCTTTGTGGTAGAGAACTTGACCCCTACAGACCTTCACACGTATTCTCCAGCAGCGCGTTGTGTGGAGCACATCTCTTCTAACTTGTTCCGTCCTTTCGTCACAGAAACTAAAAAGGCAGTCAACAAAGTACAGATCGGATAAAATCTACCTTACAGCAGCATCTGAGCAACCAGAGAACATCAAGAAGAACAGATACAAGGACATCTTACCCTGTAAGTTTGAAATGGCAGATGTTCCTATTCAGCCTACTTTCTCTTTTTTTTTCTAGCTTGAGTCTGTTCTCATCCTCCAGCATCTGCCTGCGTTGTTGCTTCTGTCTGAGCACATCACTGGCTCTCGGTTGGCCCTGAATTCTGCTGTTCAGATTTAAGGCTTTATTTCTGACCATTGCAGTGCATGTTCTGCAAGACTTTGACATGTATTTTCTACAGACAGAAGAACTCCTATCCAGTAGGAAACATCCTCTAATGATTGTCCTGGCAAGCGTTCTGGGCAACATTGCAATTGTGTCTTTCCCAAGGCCTTATAGAGAATGGCTCTAGACAAAGATGTCTCCATGATGTAGAAAGCAGACTACAGAAAAAAAACTGTTGTGGCTTGTCCTGACTTGATGGAGTTGCCTCCAAAGCAGAGTATGTCCTAGGATCAGAGCAGACTGTCCCTTTCTAGCTTGAAAAAAAAAAATCTAGCCCCACAGATCTCACCTGAGCCTGTAAGATGGAGTGCAGGGTGATTTTATGCTTGGTTTGCTCCATGGCTGGAGGAGATTGGCATTACGCTGGGGCAGTGCAGAGTCTGCAGCCCCTGCCTGAGCCCTCCCCAGCACGGAAAAAGAGCGTGCCAGCCTGCTGCTTGCCCGTGGGCAGTGGCCAACCTGGGCAGGGCTATCAGTAGGGGCAGGAGGCGTTAGCTGCCTGCACAGCCACTCATCTGCTCTGGGATGAGGTCTCCGATGTACATGCTCCTCCAAAGCACCTTGTGCTGCAGCCTGAGGAGCTCAACTACCATGAAAGACAAACAGTAACTGCTGCTGCTTCTCCCTTTGTGCCTGCAGTTGACCACAGCAGAGTGGAGCTGTCCCTGATTACATCAGATGCAGATTCTCACTACATCAATGCCAACTTCATCAAGGTACTGCTTCGTCCATGGCGTTCTGCTGTGGGAAGGTGTTTGCAGCAGCTGTTAGTGCTGCCTGGTTGAGCTGAGCCAGGAGGAGCAGGTCCTGTGGCTCTGGTGAGTTACAGGACTATGCAGTCGTTTCTGGGCTCTGCTCAGGGATAACTGATGTAACAAAGATGTGTATGACCAGCGAGCCCTTCAGAACCAGCCCGTGCAGTGCAGAGGCTCCAGGGCAATGGACACGTGCTCGTGTTGGGGTGGGTGGTGGAACGGTTTGTGGCTCACAGACCTGACTTCCTTGTTGCTGTTGCTGCCTTTGGTGGGTGACAGTGGTGCAAAATCGCCTGTGGCCAGAACTGCCTTGCCCAAAACAAGTGCACAGGCAGGAAGCCTTCCACTGCAGCCCAGCTGAGCCCCACGGTCAGCCAGCACAGGCCTGCTCTCTGTCAGGAGTTCCGTCTGGTTTGCGGCGCTCCCGTGCTCAGGACCCTTCTCAGACAGATAGAGAGCAGCTTTCCTTCACTCTCCACCATAGTGACTGAGGGCTCCATGCAAGCGGTCTGCAGAGGAACAGACCTTCTTTGGCCAACACCCACACGTGCCAAGCTCAACCTGCAGAGCTGGATCAGCTTGTGAAGCATCTCCTCCAGGCTCCCAAACTTACTGCAAGAATTGGTGGTTTCAGGGAGCACATCTCACTTCAAGGCCAGCTCCTTGGCTTGGGGGCTGCCTTTGGGAGGTTTGCACACCATTGGTTTCTGGTTGCTTAGTTTAACTTAGGTGCCTAAATTTTAACTATATAAGATCCCTTCTAAGTCCTTAATAGGCTCACTGGATAGAAGTAAGATTCAGGAAGAGGGCTGACTTATTTTCTGCTAGCAAACTATGCAAAGGTGTCTCCATGTCTGATCTGCATGCTGTTTCAGGGCGTCTATGGGCCAAGAGCATACATTGCAACCCAGGGTCCTCTCCCCACTACTGTCATCGACTTTTGGAGGATGATTTGGGAGTATGAAGTCCTGGTAAGGTGCAGATTTATATGCCTTTGTTTTTTTAAAAAAGAAAAGTTGTACATACAACCAGCCAGAAGTTCTAAGCAGACAGTGGGAGTGTCAGGGTTTTACTCCAGACATTTTGTGTGCCCCCCACCCCTCCTGTGAGCCTCCTTCACACGCAGGCTGAGACAGGAGTCTGCTTATGGCTGTCTCTGCTTTCGGGCTCTGAGGGGGAAAGGTCCTCGTGCCCAAGCTGTGGACTATGTCCTGAGTTTGATTTGCCCAGTGGCCCAGGACTCTGGGGAAGACAGTCCACAGAACCTCCTCATTGCTGTTAAGCACTCACAAGGGATGAGTTTAATTCTGCTGCCTGGATAAGAAGCTTGTGTTCAGACTTTTCTGATGAACTTTCTTTCTGCAGATTGTGGTCATGGCCTGTATGGAGTTTGAAATGGGAAAGGTGAGTAACGTGTCCGAGATGGCCTCTGCCACAACTGAGCCAGGGCAGGGTGGAGAGATGCAGATTTTCACTAAATCTTATAAGTGACAGCAAGTTTCTGTTTGATATGAGCCATTTTTTGAGTCTCCAGCTGCAGATTCTTAAACTGTTCCAGCAGTGTAGCTAGCCTCTTCAGAAGGGAAGAAGCAGCAACAGTGGCTCCAGGGAAGGGGGGCTGGAGCTGGCCGGCAGCACGAGCTGCCAGCACGAGTTTTGTGCTGCAAAGTGAGACAGGAGACAGCACGGGTGGGCCAGTGGTGAATAACCAAACACATCCTGCTTCTCACAACAGAAGAAATGTGAGCGGTACTGGGCAGAGGCGGAGGGCTCCCCCCTGCAGTGTGGTCCTTTCTCCATCACCTGTGTGAGTACAGCCGCTGCGAGCACCGTCTCGCACCAGGTAACCTGGACACTCCTGTCACCTGCAGAAAATGTGACTGCAACTTCTTGTTCTGCAGGAAGCTGAAGAGAAGAAAAATGAGTATGTGACTAGAACTTTAAAGGTGATCCTGAATGAGGTAAGTGGGAAAGGTCAAGGCAGGAAACGTATCTTGGCTAGATTTATTACACAAATAAAACATTAAAATCTGGCACACTTTGTGCAGAAAATGTTATGCTGCTCAGCCTGCTAGTTTAGATGTGACAGTAGCCAAAGGAATAAAGAAAGTAAAAAAATTAACTAACTCAAACCTCAGTTTCTGAGGCTGGCTGTCAGTTACGACCAGGCCAACAGGTAAAGATTGTCATAAAATGGCAAGACCAGCTGCAAACAGCACCTCTAACCTTTGCCTGCTGACGGAGTCAGGAACTAGAGATGTTCCGCTCCCCTTGCCGTGCTGGCATCTCAGCCTGTGCCCGCGGCAGCTGCCAGAGCATCTCCTCAGACCCTGCCAGAGCTCTTCTCCTTCTGCAGGAAATCCGCACCGTCCACCAGTTCCACTACACAAACTGGCCGGACCACGACGTCCCCTCGTCCATCGACCCCATCCTGGAGCTCGTGGCCGAGGTTCGCCGCTACCAGCCGGATGACAGCGTCCCCCTCTGCGTCCACTGCAGGTGGGGGAGGGCAGCCAGCCCCAGCCGCTCCTGCTCCTGCTTCCTCGGCGGCCGCGGGGCTGGAAGCAGCCAGCACAGGCTGGCCGAGCTCCTCGTGGGGGAAGTCGTAAGGCAAAGGTGTCGTCTGAGGACGGGCAGCCTGGCTGGGTGGCAGGAAACACGGCGGGCAGCAGCAGGCCAGCGGTAACGCCTGTAGCTCCGGGACCCCCGGCACTGGGCCCACGCGTGGGCTGCCCACCGCAGGAGGACTGGGGACCGTTGGCAGGGGCACGAGATGTGCCTTGCAGCCTGCAGTGCAGCTGTGGGCAGGTGGAGCCGTACGAGGGGCAGGTGAAGCTGCACCAGGGCTGTCATGAGGGTCTGCTCCCACCACAGTGTGGGACAGGAGGGTCACAGGAGGCTGTGGATCTTTTTCAAATATCCTTGCCGGAAAATACAGCGTGCCCATCCTCTGACCTCTGCTAGCAACCATGCTGTGACTGTCATTGCAGTGCTGGCTGCGGGAGAACAGGAGTCATCTGTGCCATCGACTACACCCAGAAGCTCCTGAAGGATGGAGTGAGTGTCAGCCCAGTCTGTTGCATCTCTCGTCTCAGTCTCGCCTTCTCTCTGCCCACACTCTCCCTTTCATCACCCCCTGACTGCAGGCAGATGTATTTCAGATACGGGAACTCCCCGTGCCTGGCTGGGGATCACTGATAGCCCATTCCCAGTTTGGGCTGCTTCTCTCTCTTCAGGATCTGCACCATCCATGTGGTGTCTGTTTGTTGCCTTTGCTCTCCTCCCCATTCTGCTCCGAAGAGCCCCTGCGGGCCAAATCCTCCCTTCCATTGCTCCCTCTTGCAGGAACTTCAGTTCACAGAGCTTGGCTCTATGCTAGCCTTCAGTCTTCAGTGCAATTTTAGTCTCTTTATTTGTCCCTCCACAATTAACCCTCAGAAATCCAGTGTTTCCAAACTAACACCTTGCTTTACCCTGACTCTTCTGTAACATGGTATGTGAAGCAATCCCTGGCCACAGGCTGCTGGACTCAGAGCCGTGGCTGCTTTCTGTGCCACAGCAACCCTGAACTCACTGACCTAGGAAATCGATGTCTTGTTCTTCATGCTGTTCACAGCTGGAATCAACATTGTTATGAAAAGGTTATTTTCTGTGGGGTGCAACTCAGAAGGGAGGACGTAAACTGGTTCATAATGAAAAAAATAGCACTTGAAGCAGGTCCTTTTTCAAAAATTATGGCAATAGCAGGCCTGAATTTTGGACACTGTTTTAAACCGTGCCACAACTTGGAAACGGCTTGGAATTAGACCTATTGGTAATTTCTTTGTCTTTTCTCTTTCTTGCAAGATTGTTCCAGTGAACTTCAGTATTTTTAGTCTGATCCAGGAAATGCGCACACAAAGGCCTTCCATAGTGCAGACCAAGGTAGGTTTGGGAGATTTTGCCACTGGTATAGTCTCCTAACTGGGACCTCAGCCTTCCCTGGGAGGGTACACAGTAAGGAAACACAGAGCGGTTGTGCTGCTGGGAAACAGGGCACGTAGATGTTCTGTAAGGTTCCTTTTCTCAACAGAGGAAGGATTTTGCAGAAATTAGTTTGGTAGCTGACCATTTCCTTGTAGACAGATGGACAGCTTAAGGCTTGCAGTCTGGTTTATCGAGTGCTTGCACTGTGAAACGAGGGACTGTCCAGGAAACAAAGTTTGAACTCTTCTCAGCTGAGACAGACGGAGGAGGAAGCTCAGTGCAGAACAGCATTGCTTGTGCACCTGAAAAAAACCAAGCACTTCAGTCTGAGCCCTCTGAAAGTTGTGGCTCCTACCTCTTCTGAGAATTTGCCTTGTCAATAGACTGGAAAGTGGCAGCTTCTCTCAGGGGCTGATGCTTGATTTGGGTAACAGGTTACCATTTACAAGCACTGCAGGTGCTGGCTCTCATGTCTGTTTTATTTGTCTGGGACACAGGAGCAGTATGAGCTGGTTTATGACGCCGTGATCGAGCTCTTCAAAAGACAGATTAAAGCACTCGATGCCCAGGAAGATCCTGCTGTTTCACAGGTAAAAGTCCCCAGGATAAATGTGCTGCCTGTTGCAGCCTCGCCAGCTCTAACATAGATTCCTACTGCAGCCTTGGAATGAATCCCTGTGCTTTCTGCTGCTCTTGATGACCAAACTGTGCCTCTTTTCAAGGTAATGTATGAGAACCCAGCTGTTCCCCTGAATGCGCAGTTCTTGGCACAGAATTTGGCCCCAGATGAAAGCTAAATTTTCTTCAGTCTCAGAACCTTTTTCTATATACTTTTACAGTTGTTTAATGTATTGAGTGAATAGAAAAGCACCAGCTTTCTACAGTAGCAGCCGATTTCCATGTGGATGTACCAGTGAAAGTTGTCTTCATGGAGTACTTGCAAGCAGCAGAGTGGGTTTCAGTCTGGGTTGGGAAGCCTGGCTGCACAAGGCAGCCTGGAGGGAAGTGCTAGCCTGCGACGTGGTGTATTCTGGTGAGGTAATTAGTGTTACAGACTGAGAGAGAAAAACACGTCAAAATCTGTCAAATCTGATACACCTCCAAGGAAAATAAATGTGGTCTTGGTATGAAGTTGCATATAAACAGGGACATCCAAAACATCCATGGTTAAGCTCTTCTTTGCTCTTACCTTTCTTCTGTGACTGCTGGCATGAACCATGCCCTTCCTGGCGAGCTGTTTGCAGTCTGGCTGAAGTAAATGCACTGCCATTCTTGGGCAAAAGCTGAAAGGTCACAGTTAGCTTACTTTGTCAGAAGCTTTTCTCTAAAGAATTTGGAACAGGATCCTGCGATGGGACCTGTGGCTCAGTTTTGCCATAGGATTTGCAGGATGTTCCAAGGCAGAGCTGAGTACGAAGAGAGCTGGAAACAGCCTCTTTCTATGTGTTGTGGACAGTCTGCAAGCAGAAGAGATGCAAGACTAGGTGACACAAAATGCAGAAAATGGTTCAAGTCCGGATGTGGTTTTGTAGCTCCTGGCCAAACCTCTTGCCTGCCTAAACATCACTGCCCTCTGAAAGCACTTTGCAGAGCATGGGGGATGGTCACAAATGAAACCAGTGCCCAGCTTGCTGGGCTGACTGCCCGCACAGGGTCCTGCAGGCAGAGGTGTCTGCACAAGCTGCTTTGCAGGTGTTTGGAACAGCTGGATGGTTGTACCACTCTCTGTACTCTCATTTCAGAAAGATGCCAACAGGAATTGCTCTTCAGGAGGTTCTACCCTCAGTTTTCAGCTCTAATTTGTTGTTTTCAAGTTGGTGTTTGTAATTTCCTAACTGCATCAATAATTGAAAGTAGTAGGCACAAATTCTAGCTCCTGAAATAGCATGTCTGTGTTCTTTGCCTTCTTCCTCCTCACTCGTCTTTTCCAACCTTTTCTTTCACCAGGTACAAGCAAGACATCCTGTAGCCAAGCCACTTCTGACTCCAGTAGAAGATATTTATTCTTTGCAACTACTAACCTGGTAAGACCACAGCACAAGCATCCCCTGGGTTAGCATTTTCAGTCACCCATACGATTTTAGGAAGATGCATTTTCTTAGGTGTGCTTTGTGACACAGGGCTGGTTGAATGTTGCATTTCAGTTGCCAGCAGGTTGTGCAGCCTTCCTTCAGCCCCACATTGACTATCACATTCGTTCCTAACGTAATTCCTGCTCTTCTCATGGCTGTATTTCTGAGGCTGGGTATCAGCCTCTTTCCTGCATGTCACTGTCTGTCCCTTCTGCCCTCGAGTTTGTTTCATGTGCTTACACCGTGTTTCACATATTAACTGAAAACATGTCACAGGGCAGTATGAAAAAAGGCTCACACGTGTGGAGACACCGCAGTGCTGGCTGATCTCAGACCTCTGTCTGGAGCTGTGCACCCTATAGGGTGCACAGACTGGTCCCATCTTTCATCTGCACATGTCCCTCCAGCGCCTCTTGCTGGAGGAACAGTGAGCCTGAGGAGCCCAGTGTCCTGACACGGGCAGCTTCGGAGGGTGGCAGGATCTTTCCGTGGGCATGTGTTGCTTTGTAGTGTCTGCTTTCTTAAAATCATTTTGTTTTTCGATATAGTCCTCACTGAGGATGTAGTTTACTCACGTAAAGTGGCCTCCTCTGTTCACCATTTACTTGTGTTCAAATGGGGCACCAGGGTGCAGAGTCCTTCCTTGCTCGAGGCTGAATTTGGCTCTGTATTCCTGGATCTGCTCATAGGAGCAATGTTGTGGGGCCTTGTCTGTAGCTAACTGAGATTTTGGAGGACTAGATGGCTTTGACTTCCCATCATGATGCTTTATTGCAGCTCAGAGCAAGAGGAACAGGATGTGCATCAATGTCTTCCTTCGGTGCTACAAAGCAAAGCACCTCTGACATCTTTGTCTGCCACGGGAGTACACAGCAGCTCCAGATGTGGAGGCCCTCCCATCAGACAGGCCATATCCTTTGGGACTTTGAACTTCATCCATCGCAGAAAGACAACTGCCACTGAGAAGTGGGGTGCTGGGGGTGCTCTTCAGAAACACCACAGTCTGGAGTTCAGCAGCATCTCTCCTGAGCAGCAGCCTCTGAACCTGGAAGCCAAGGGAGCAGGCAGGAGAGCGCCCCTGACACGGACTGCATCCACCCCTTTTGTGCTGGCGCAGCAGGGAGCAGGCTCGGAGTGGGATGGAGGGGATGCAAAGCCTGGTTTGAGTTCACAGTTGCCAGACACCTGTTACTCAAGCTTTCAGGTGAAGAAGCAGGATGGATTTTCCCTTGTTAAGCTGAACCACTCGAGCCAAGAACCGGACAGCCCCCCGAGCCGCAGGAACTATGGGAAACATCCTTACCCGTACTGCTGCTCAGCAGAAGACCCCTACTTCTCCTCTCTCTCTCCAGATGACCCCACATCCCCGGTGTCTGCCGAGTGCTTTCTGGAGGGGCAGGATGATCTTCTCCCCTCTTGCACTGTGCGTGCCCCACTGCAGCCTGCTGTGGCCAGCCCCCCACCACCCAGGCCCCTGTCCCACCATGTTCCCCTGCTGAAGGGCCAGAGGACACCCTCCCTGAGTAAGTGGCTCCACGTTGCAAGAAGCTGGGCTTGGTCACTTCGGATTGTGGTGTGCTGGAGGCAGTGATGATGAGTGTTGGTTTTGGTGTCCAGGCAGGGCTCCTCCTGGGTACAGTGTTCCCACGGGAGCTGAGGGACCAAGAGGTTTCCTCGCACTGGTTCCATCTTGCCTTATTTTTTTCCCATAAAAATAAACAACATTTTTAGACCAGCATGATTTTGGGTTTTGCATTACACAAGGGCTCTGGACTGCTGTGTCACCTCGGTATGGCTCTCACACGAAAGCAGGGGTTGGTGCTGACCAATTCTTAAAGCAGGGTGCTCCAAGAAGAAAGCTCCCAGAAATGGTTTCCTCCAAAGATCTAGTTCTAGTCTGTAGTTCTCCTGCTGCATCGTGCCATGTGGGTAACCTGTCCATGTCTCCCCAATTAGCCACCCTGCTGCAGCCAAATGATGATGATGATCCTCCACCCCTTCCGGAGCGAACTCCCGAGTCCTTTATCGTGGCAAATGAATCTGGTAAGTACATTTAACAAAGCAGGGGCTGAGGAGTGCTCTGAAGGCTTTTCTCATGTTTGTGTGGTATCACAGCACCCAGCAGAGCCTTTGCTCTGGCTGCCTGGCATAAAAAATGACCTCTCTTATGTTCAATTGTTTGTAGGACAATTTCCTCTGGACACTTCTGATTTTCAGCTTCCAGCCAGTAATAGAAATATTGGAATCTCTTTGGAATGGAGTGGTGAGTCTCACTCAGAGGTGTTTAATGACTCAGTGAGACTGAGACCATGTAGGGTAAGTAAGTGGGTTTTTATCTCTTCCCTAGCACTATCTCTACGCCAATTTCCTTTCTGTGAGAAAGATTTCAGTTTTGGCACTGTGTACGTTCCACAAACTATATCAGGATTTAGGACTGGGAGGAAGATGTGGTCTCAGTCAGGCTCCTCCTTATCAACATCTACTTTACTCCAAACATTATTTTTTAGGGTCCTAAATCCCATACAGTGTAGTAACAATATCGTCCCTTTTTTAGAGAAGGATAGTGGAGACCAGAAGTTAGTAGTCTGCTGAGGTTCACTGAAACAGGCAGGAGCTGAACAAAATTTAGACATTTTTTGATCATCCTATAGTTGAATTATAGCTTTGTAAAGTGAAACAATAAAGCACAAGTCTATCCTCCTTTACCTGAGCCTGTCCCTGTGTGTGGGTGGGTGTTTGCACATAACCATTTCCTTGTCTTCTCTGGCTTGTGTGCAAAACGATGACATTTGGTTACGGGAATTTCAAACACCTTGCTTATTTTTTTGTTTCCAGAGTGTGAAGCTTCGGAGCCCACAAACAGGTAGAAGTTTAATGCTGCAATAAGCTATCTTTGGAAATAAATCTGCTTCTTACTGAGGCTGCTTTACCACATTTAGTAAATGTCTTTTGGATCTGTGTTCAATCCAATGGTCCAATGGAAATTTTGTGTTGCTAAGTAGTTCTAACAGAACTAGACAGTTCTGCAACCAAATGAACTGGCAGGTTCTTATTTCCTGATCAGCTCCTGCTTCGCCCCGCACACGGTGAGACTCCTTGCAGCCTCCTCAGGCTGAGGGCTGTGACATCTTTTGCTGCATGTTTTGCATTTCCTTTGAGATGACTGACATGTGCTCATTAAGAGTGCTGTGGGCTTCTCAATGAACTGGTGTGTATAAACTGGTATGTACACGTTTATATCTGGGTAACCAACCTTTTTATTTTCGCCTTCTTAGAGACAACCCGGGATCGCTCTAGCTCTCCTCCCCCGCTTCCTGAAAGAACACCAGAGTCTTTTGTTCTTGCTGATGCAGCAAGTAAGTGATGAGTTATTTTCTTAGCATGTAGAGATTTTGTATTTACACTTAAACCGTAGATAGCTGAGGAGATCATGGCTCCCTTGTTCAAAGCATTACCAACAGTAGTGCTTCAGGACTTAACTGCAGGAGAGTTCAGAAGTATAAAGAAAGTAAACACAATTAGGGGACCCACTAGACATGTGTAGAACTGCTGCATTAGAGGAAATGAAAAGCAACAACGAAGCACTTAGAAAAAAAGAAGGAGGATTCTTGAATGACTACTGAAAATGTTCAGATGTATGTTCCCAGGTCTGCAGCCTGCTGCAAGAGGTTCTACAATGAGTCCTGAGGGGTTGGAGAGCAAAACATCATCAAAAGAGCCTATGAAATGCTTCAGGAGGAGCAAGGTAAAAGAAACAAGACAGAACAAAAGCTATTGAAAATGGAGGGAGTGAGAAGGAGAGATCATTCTAGCTACAGCTATTGCTACTTTCTCCACTGCTAACCTTGAGAAAATTGCCTACTTTGAGACCACCCATATTTAGGGCAAGGAAACAAGACTACTAAAAATACTCTGCGTAGAACTGCAAACAAACCCACTGTTTGCATGAGGCAGAGAACAACGCAGCTCTACCCCTGTGGGGGGTTATGCCTTGGCACTCTCTCTCCCAAAAGTTACAGTTCCTCTGGGAAAAATTTGGTCAAGCAGAGTCTGAGCCTGTCCATGTAGGACAGACTCCACTCATCACCAGCCTCCTCTTGTGGCCCTCATTAATTATCCTCATGAGCAACTGGACTTGGGGACATTTTGGTTGAGAATTTGAGGAAAACAGAAAGAATAAGACAAGCTGGAGGCCTTGGGCTGGCTATGAAAAAGCCAAAGTGAGTGGCAGAAGGTTGCATTTCAGTCTCAGCTGCTGGGCACAATGCTTCTTATGAGGTGTGATACACGTGTTTGTCTGTGAGTTCCCATTATCATAGTAGCTCACCTACTGCTTGCTACATTTTTTTCCAAGAAGCCTTCTTTTGATTGATCTAATGATCTATCTATCTATCTATTTATTTATTTATTTCTACAGAGCTTGAAAATATTGAAAAATGTGAGAAAGAGTAAGTCTTCCAGGCTAATGTGTGTGCAACTTCTTGATGGCTTTGAGCACGTATCTAAAGAAATGGGTGGCACTGAATTTCCAAGAGCCCGGCCCCGTGCGCGGTGACGCGCCCGCACGCCTGCCTGGAGCAGGGCACGCCACACTGTGCTGCCCAGCACAGCACCCCCTCACCTCACACAGCACGGATGCTGTGGTTCCCCTGGAATGCCCTTTGAGTACCCTGAGGACAGCTCCAGTGTACTCAAAGTACCAAATTCTTCAGGTCATTCAAACTAGTGTTGTGGGACAAATACTGTAAAAATGGGGGAGTGGGGAGAGTGGCAGCCCCATCCTGGATCCTGCCCAGTCTGTCTGGAGCCCTGTCTACTAAGTTCCCTTTGATCTAAATTTAAAATGCTTATGTTGAAAACAGGACTGCTAAAAACTGTTTAAAGTAGTTCTGAGCAAACCTTTTCCTGGTGGCCTGTGCTGCAGCAGTACGCTTGCTTCCCGCTACAGGCGAGTGCTGTCGTTACAGCTGCGTGGTGCTCAAGCTCTGCTAGCATGGGCAGGACATAACTTTGTCTTGTGCTGAAATGGCACCTGTGCCTGGTGCCACCGTGCACAAGGCAGTACGTGCCCTCCTGTAGCTGTGCCCCAGTCCAGCTCTTCAGGGAATCAGCCCAGTGATTGACTGATTCTGTCTGATGTTTTATTTCTAGGCATCTGTAGTCCATCTTCACTGGCAAAACCGCCAGAATCTGCCCTGCCAGGCCAGTCGAGGTCTTTCCTTAACTTGGGTATGTTTTTCTCTTTGTGTTTTGGTGTAGGAAGTACCCCTTTCCTGAAAGTCTAAATGTAGGTACCAGGCTGAATGCTAACAAACTACAAAGATTACAAATAATGCTTTCCCCCCCACCGCATTTACTTTAGTCACAAACTGTTTAAAGAACCGATAAGGATGGAAAACACAAACTGAAACCTACTCTGACAAACACTTCTCAGCGTGGGAAGAGTCTGAAGCGTGCATTTGGCTTTCCTGTATCTAAAGCCTTCATGTGGCAGCAGCGGAAGACAAAGCTGTTGCATTGCCCCCAGGCTGCTGCCTTAGCTCTGTAACACGGCAGAGGAGAAACACCTTGGGTTCCACTTTAAATTCTTCTACTGGAGCACAACCATTTATTAGATTAGGCATAAAATCTTGTTATCTTGATATCCATACTATAATGACTGTATTTGTCACAGACACACTGATAGACTGTTCTTGCACTAGCTGACTTCCAACTACAAGTTGTTGCTTTAAGTGTACCGTATCTTACAGTTTGGGGAAGAACTTACATGACAAGTATTTTCAAATACCATATTAAGGAATTACATAGTCAACATCTATAACATACAGAATTTGTTGAATTAAAAAGCACATTTCTTCCTAGGCTTTGCAAATCGATTTTCGAAACCTAAAGGACCAAGAAACCCACCACCTGCATGGGATATTTAGATGTTTTATAGGTTTGGCATTGCAGATTTGTGAACAACTTCTGATATGACCTGAGGGTTCATCCCAGTAAGTTTTCCATCAAAATAAATACATCAAAAGCTCTTGCATGATATTTGCAGCTCAGGCACTACTTGCTCACTCTTCACCAAAACTAAAGTTTTAAAGAAGGATATAGACATTCCAGCAGCGAAGCACTTTCAGTTAATTTTCAACAGGACGGAAGCTAAAACCGGGAATAGATATTTTATCCTAAGGAAGGATACATTTTTTGTTGTGTTTTGGAAAATATTAATTTCAAAAGGATGGACTTGGGCTTTCTGAAACACAGCAGTGTAAACTGGTGATAAGATCCAGCAGAGACAATCAGTAGTGTGGAAGGACGACGGAGCGGACCAGAGCAGAAGGCGACTGCGGAGCGCGCAGACACAGGAGCTGTGTAACCCCATTCACGGGTGCAGACCCAAGACCCGTGCTTCCTTAAATGTTTACATTACTTGGACTAAATTAAAATCAGCACCTCGGGTTTTCAAAATAATTTTTCTTTAATTTTTTTGTTTTCATCAGAGCTAATCAGCGACTTTGTCCGGATTTTTTGTCAGCACAGTTAAGATGCTGATTGATCAGATAGAAACGAAACTAGTGTGACAGACTGCAGAATTAGCTGACCCAGCTGCCCTCGTTCTCTGAAAAGAGCACAAAATGAAACACCATCACGGCAAGCAAAGTATCATTGTATTTTAAAGCAATGCTGGTTTTAAGGATTTGTGACTTCAGATCTTGAAGACAGAACTTCTAGACAGATTCCTCACCAGATCCCTCTGCTATTTATATCCTCGGTAGGGAGTAATAAAGATGCTGAAAATTGTTTTGTGTGATTGTTTTTCTGTAGAAGGAGAAAAGCAAAGTGGGGAAAATGTGGGGAATTTGGTGGAGAGAGGACTCTGCTGCCCACCGCTGACACAGAACTCGGGCTGGTTTAAGGCTCCGTTTGCCGGAGCGACGAGCACAGCGCAGAAGGCGGCGGCCTCGCTCCCCACTGTGGCCGTCCTTCTGCTCCGCAGAGGCAGCCCACCGAACGCGGTCTCATTTGTGGCCTTGTTGCAGCTCTTCCCGTGTTGTACCGCGCGCCCCTCCATCAGCCACGCCCGGGCACCG